ACCTGCCGTAACCCCACAACCAGCCTCTGCCCTGCAGCCCTGCAACCCCCCCCCTGCCCTACCCCCACAACCAGCCTCTGCCCTGCAGCCCTGCCCCTCCCCATCCACCATAACCCCCCCGCCAGCCTCTCCCTGCAGCCCTGCCCCTCCCCATCCACCACAACCCCCTCCGCCCCACCAGCCTCTGCCCTGCGGCCCTGCCTCTCCTGACTAGGGAATGTCTCTGGCAAACACAGGGAGACTCGTATTCTTGTTCGAATCCCAGGTTTGAACCCTGCTCTGGCATGTTCCGTACAGCACCCCGCCACAGGGGCTGTAACAATTCATGGAGTCAGGGTGCAGAGAGCCCCTGAACCCAGCTGTGAGCCCCAGGTGTGATGGAAACCACACAGGGCAGGGGGAGCAAGTACATCACCCAGCACTTGTAATCCCAGCAGCTCTGCCTCTTCCTTTCCTTTTCTGCCTGACCCCAGGAACTCCCGACCCCCACAATCGACAGAAGAAACCAAGCTGGGGCAATCCTTCGCTCTTTCCTCACTTGCCTGCTCCATCCTCATCCTCCTCTTCCTCCAGACCGGCACCTCACAGGCTGGGCATCCCTAGCAACTGAGCCCCATGGACAGAAAGCCCTGCTCAGCACCCCCTCCGCACCGAATCAGGGCAGAATGATATGTCGCATGTGGGAAACGTTGGCGAAGAAGGGAGGCTCTCAGGTCCCACGGCGATAAGACTGGAAACCCCTAGTCACTGAAAGTATTGCAATAGGGCAAGAGAGGAGAAGAAACTAGACTAGACTAGATGGGTACGTCTAGACTACATGCCAGACTAGCGTGCTGAGCCGACACACAGCTGATCGGCTCAGCGTGGCAGCCATTTTAATTTAAATGAAGCAGTGATTATTTAAATTGCCGCTTCATTTTCCTATGCTGGGTAGCCTTATGTACACGCCTCTGTTGCCAAAGGCATGTAGTCTAGACATACCCAATAAGACCAGACTAGAAGACTGGACTGGACTGGACTAGATGTTCCTCCTCCACCTCTGGAGCATGAGATGTTGAACATGGATGTTTTTTCTTTCCATGCTGAGCCTGAGAATGGAGTCCCTGCCCCCACTGGGCACCAAAAGGGCAGAAATATTCCCAACACCAGGGGAAGTGAGTCCCGGGCCACTGGACAGACAGGCTATTGGAGAACAGGTTGTTTTATGTCAATAACTCCCTGGCTTTATTTCTCTGCCCTACCCCAGGAATGAGTCCCAAATGGGGCTGACCAACCACACGATGGTGACTCATTTCATCCTCCGAGGGATCCCCAACACCGACGGCCTCCAGACCATCCTCTTCTTCACCTTCTTAGCCTTCTACCTCTGCACCCTGCTGGGCAACCTGCTCATCCTCTCAGCCGTCCTCGGCGACCCCCGCCTGCACACCCCCATGTACTTCATCCTCTGCTACCTTGCTGTCGTAGACCTTGGATGGTCTTCCATAATCACCCCGAAATTGCTAGACATTCTCTGGGCCAACAATAGAACCATCTCACTGGGAGGGTGCATGGCCCAGCTCTTCTTCTTCCTCTTCGTGGCAACCACCGAAGGCCTGCTCTGCATGGTCATGGCCTTTGACCGGTACGTGGCCATCTGCCACCCACTGCGCTACCTGCTCATCATGAACCGCAGGGTGTGCACCCTCCTGGCTGCTGGCACCTGGATTGCCAGCTCCTTCCACGCCACCATCCTCACCAGCCTGACCTTCACGCTGCCCTACTGTGGGTCCAACGTGGTGGACTCTTTCTTCTGCGACATCTTCCCAGTGGCCAAGTTGGCCTGTGTGGACACGTACATCTTGGAGACCATGACCTTCACCAACATCGGGGTGTTGCCCATGACTTGCTTGACCCTCATCCTCGCCTCCTACGTGAGGATCGTTTATTGCATCCTGAAGATGAACGCGGGTGAAGGGCGGCGCAAAGTGGCCTCCACTTGCGCCTCCCATCTGGCGGTGGTGACACTGTTCTTCGGGCCCTGCACCCTGATCTACACCCAGCCCCAGCAAAGCAAAATGCTGGTGACCCCCATGAACATTTTTGGCAACGTGGTGACGCCCATGCTGAACCCGCTCATCTACACGTTGCGCAACAAGGAGGTGAAAGCGGCGCTGAGAAAACTGAGCAGGGGTCAGATATCTGCATGCTGACGTGCAGCTGTGGCAGGAGCTGTTGCCCCAAAATGAGTTGGCGCTGGAGACCCACACCTTGCTGCGGGCTCTGGAAATCTCCACCACAGCACGCAAGTCTACAGACCTCGAGTTCCTTAGTCCTTCATTATAAGGCAGGATTCCTACCACAAGGAGTCTCAGAGCTGCTCTATGCAATTGCTGCTCGCACCACCGCCCAAGTAGTGAAATCACTTTGCCGATTGGCAGTCTCCACCACTGGGAACAGGCCCTGTCAGCGCAGCCTTGACTCCCCCTACCCATAGGTCCATGCTTCCTTCCAGCTGCTCAGACAGTCCCCGGCTTGCTTGTGCCCTGCACAGAGTGAGCCAGAGCAAGAGAAGGGTGCTGAAGCTACCCTAGATGGTGGTGTGGAAGGGATGCCGGTGGAGAGATCGCAGGGTGCGGAAGGAGGGCACTGGAGCTGCCCTAGATGATGGTCCAGGAGGGATGCCGGAGGAGACGCCACAGGGTGAGGGAGGAGGGAGCTGGAGCTGCTCCAGGGGATGGTCTGGGAGGGATGCCAGTGGAGACATCACAGGGCGAGAGAGGAGGGTGCTGGTGTGATCCTAGGGTCACCACTAGGGAAAAGTCACAGGGACTCGGCTCGGATCGAGGCAGGGCAATTGGGTTCCACAGGGATCAGGTCACATGCACAGTCCATAAGGTTACCTGGGGGAGGTAACCTGGGTAGGGGGAGGAGTCCGTTCATGCCAAGGGTTCTGGGACAAGGCCGGAAGGCAGGTGAATGATGGAATCTCTTTGGGGCTTCATTCCCTACTGGAGACGCTGCAGTAACAATTACTCCTGTCTCCCACCCATTGCTCTGCAAGCCCCATTGCACCTGGGCCTCCCAGCTGGTCGTGCCACAGAAATACTAACGCCTGGCCCAGAATTGCCCCCGACTCCTTGGACACATGTTTGACCCTTGCACCTTGCAATGAAATAACAAGAAAACAGCAATGTGAAAGGCACCCGGGGTAGTTGCTACGGGCTGGGCCGGGCTCCCTGCAGAGCCCCCAGCCCTTCTCCCTGCAGAACTGGGCACGTGAGCCCAGCCCCCGGCACTAGACCCAGCCCTGCCTGCAAAATTAGAGCACCCCCTGCTGGGCTGCCTGCCCTGCTCCCTGAACTGCAGCACCCCCTGCTGAGCTGCCTACCCCATTCTCTGCGCTGCGGTGCCCCCTGCTGGGCTGCCTGCCCGGCTGCCTGCGCTGAGGCGCTCCCTGGGGGCAGCTGGAGTCTGCTTGGTGGTTTCTTTGCACTGGCCCCGGGAACCAATTTCCAAAGAGCCATGACCCCAGACTCTGGTGCCTGGGAAAAGCAAACCGGGACCAGATGGTCAGAGCACACACTGTGCACGTCGATTGTCAAAACCCCGGTAGCTTCTGACGGCCAATGGGAACCTTCCCTAAGCTCCCAGTCAGGGGCACTGGGTGGTCGTAGAGGGAGACACAGGGAGAGCTGGGGGCTATAGGGTTGGTAACTGAGAACTGTATCAACTCAACACAGAGCCCATGGGAATTATTTGCAAAACCTTATTCTGTGGTAAAGACAAAGGGAATCTGGGTTCAAGTTCCATCTGGGCAGCGGAATCTCTTCTTGTCCTTGAGCATGTCACTATATTGCTGTGTGACTCAGTTTCCCCATTTGTAATACATGGATAATTACATTATTTGTCTTTCTCGGCTGTTCAAGATGTGTCGCGTTCAGGCAGCAATTCTCTGTGTGTGTCCATGTTGGATGTTACACAAATGGGCCCAGGTCGCAGTCCCACACGATAGCTCCTACCATAACATCCATAACAATAGTGTTAATACTAATGAAATTAGAATCACAGAACATGAGAATGGGAAGGGACCTTGAGGGGTCATCGAGTCCAGTCCCCTAACCTCACAGCAGGACCAAGCACCATCTAGACCATCCCTGACAGGTGTCTGTCCAACCTGCTCTTAAATATCCCCAGTGATGGAGATTCCACAACCACCCTCGGCAATTTATTGCAGTGCTTAACCAGCCTGGACTTACAAATTATGGGGCCCTAATCAGCTGAGCCCCCCACAACATGAAGCTTTTGCTAGGGGCCTATGGCATCCTCACCCCCTCTGTGTAGCTTCTCCTGGGGGCCTGTGGTTCGGGGCTTCCCTACAACCCTTGTGTCGTCCCTTGTCCCCATGCACTTTCTAGTGGGGCTTTGTGCTTCCCTGGGGACGGGATGGAGTTGCAGATGCCGGGGGCTTCTCTCTCCAGCCAGCTGGGCATCAGGGAGCACACACTGAGCGGAAGGGCATGGAGGAGGGAGGAGGGACAGGACAGAGCAGTGCATGGGAGGGGTGAGAGGAACCGGCAGAGGTACAGCGTCAGACAAACAAGAGCACTCACCTGTGTTGGGACACCTGAAAATGGGCCTATACCTAGGGACAGCCATGGCCTGCTAGGAAGCTTTTCCTAATGTTTAACCTCAACCTCCATCGCTGCAGTTTAAGCCCATTACTTCTTGTCCTGTCATCAGAGGCCAAGGGGAACAATGTGTCTCCCTCCTCCTTGAAACACCCTTGTAGATACCTAAAAACTGCTCTCATGTCCCCTCTCAGTCTTCTCCTTTCCAAACGAATCAAGCCCAATTCCTCCAGGTTTCCTCATAGCTCATGTTCTCTAGACCTTTCATCCTTCTTCCTCTTCTCTACATCTTCCCTGAAATGTGGTGCCCTGAACTGGACACAATACTCCAACTGAGGCCTAATCAGCACAGAGCAGAGGGGAAGAATGACTTCTCGTGTCTTGTATGAAAGCGGCGAGAAGTCCCGTGGCACCTTATAGACTAACTGAAGTGTAGGAGCATCAGCTTTCGTGGGCAAAGACCCACTTGTTAACATGCATCTGACGAAGTGGGTCTTTGCCCACGAAAGCTGATGCTCCTACACTTCAGTTAGTCTATAAGGTGCCACGGGACTTCTCGCCGCTTTCCCGTGTCTTGCTCACAACACTCCTGGTCATGCAGACCAGAATTCCATTACCTTTGTTCACATCAGTGTCACACAGTTGACTCATTTAGCATGTGGTTCACAATAGTGGATTTGCACCAGGGCCAATGGCTCTGGGGTTCTGCCTACCTCCCCTCCTTCTCACTTGTTGGGCTCTAGGCAAACTAGCACCTGGCTCCAGCATGGGCGCTAAGAGCTCAAGGCATCCTGGGAGCTGGAGTTCCTTGGTCCTGGCCAGACAAGTAGCCCTGAAGAAGGGAAAGGACTACATTTCCCAGCATGCCCTTGGCTGCTAGCAACAAGAAAGGGTGGGGGGAGTGAGCAAGGCTCTTGCTGGGAATGAAGAACTAGGTGCTAGCACAGGGTGGTGCTGGGAGCCCTGTGCGGGTGCAAAGTTTGTACTCAACTCTGCATCCATGTCTGCTGAGCCGAGCAGCGGCTCGATACACTGTGGGGAGCTGTGGGATAGCTGGGCTCTGACATGTGCACAGAGGGAGCAGGAGGCTTTGGTCCAGAGCTTCCCCAGACTGGGGTGAGGGAGGCTGGTGGCCTGGGCTGACCCCACGGGGGGGGGGACTCTTGCAGAGTGAGTGGGCAGCATGCTTGGTCTGAATCGTAGCAAGGCAGGGGTGGATCCCACTGGCAGAAGCTAAAAGCACACGGCAGCGCAGTGTCTACTAGAGGCTGGGGAATGTTTGCATTGAACAGGACGGGCCAGGGGCCAGAAACTTTGAGACCCCTGATCGATGCCGTTACCCAAATCACTGATAGAGACACGCGCCCAATGCCCTTCCACCTCTGACATGCACCAGGACAGCACACAGAGCTCAGCTGATGCAAACCCAGAGTCACTCCTCAGCCTGGTGCCCTGCACAGTGACACAGCCCAGCCCGGGGACTCGTCTGCCAGCTGGGGACTCGTTAGCAATATCAACATTTTAATTAATCCCCACATCCCTTGCTCCCTATGGGGTGCTGTGTCTGGGCTGGGCATTGCACCTCTACAGAGGTTAATTATCATGTCTGCTTCCTGCCTCTGCATCCCGGCTCCCAGGTACGGTGCCACAAGGGGAAGGGCAGGAATTAACAGTGACTAGAGGAATCTCTTTGAGACTTATTAGAGCTGCAGTGCTGGGACAGCAGCAAATGGCTGGAAAATCCCTCATGTCGGCCGGTCCCTCTCCCCCCCTCCTTTTTTTGTCATGTCTGTGGCTTTGTCTCCATGACAGGACTCCCCACCCCAGCAGAGGAGACGCCCGTGGCCTACCAAGATGCAGAGCGACAGTCAGGCAGTGAGAAGAGGGGGGATGGGGATGACGCCCTTCCTGCATGTGGGTTACTGGGACAGTGATCTCTGACAGGCCGGGTTGGTCTCCTTCTGCGTCTGAGCGACCCCCCGAATGATGGTGCCAGGAGCTTGCTGGAGGTTGTGAGGGGCTGCTGTCCTGTAAAACATGATTCAAAGCTCTTCTTGGAATCTCCAGGCAACTTCCAAAGCTGCGGTGCCATAGTGTGCGCAGGACTGGGGGTGCCCTCCCTCTGCACAGCAGGGATGCTCTGCCCTCCCACCGTCACAGGACCATAGCACACACAGATCCCGAGCAGGGCCAGGGAACAGCGGGACGCACAAACCCAGGGGAAAGCTCTGTTGGGTTCAGAGGCCTCCAGGCCAACCTCTGGCCTGGCTCTCTCCTCTCAACCCATGGGGGGAATTCTCTGGTGGGTGTCCCAGGGCAGGAGACCTCAGAGGAGCATGAACATCCCACCCCACCAGTAGTACCCATGTGTGATGAATGGGGGGAGGCGTTACCCATTTCTGGACATCCCGGCCCTTCACTTACCTATATTGCCTGCAAGGACTGAAGCCACAGGCCGTGGGCTCTGGAGAGTCCCCAGGAATGCTGGGGAAGGAGGAAGTGTTGGTAGGAAGCCCAGAGAGTCAATGAAAACAGTGTGAAGCTCTGAATGGGAAGCCGTGATACTCCTGGGCCGGTGTTTG